TATATGTTTATGTTTATGTTTATGTTTATGTTTATGTATATGTATATGTATATGTATATGTATATGAGAGAGGCCCCTTCAGGGTCTATCCATATGAACATATTTATAATAATTAAACTAATTGAAATAATCACATCAACAATATTATATTTGCGATGATTCATAAAATAAATAAAGAAGAATCCAGAGGTATTTAAATAAGTAAAATAATTACAAATAACTAATTGGGCTTCAATTGATTATTGAATTGTTTTAATTATTTGGTATATACAATCCGTTTAAATAATCAAAACCTTTGGACTGCAGCTTCAGGCTATATGCCCGCAACCTTTTTGGATGCCATCAGACTAGACTAGACTTCGAGGAGGAACACGACGTCGGTCTCGCAAGAAGATATGCGTCTGGTTGCCGTGGTCGCTCCCTCAATGCGGACACCATGAAGAATTATTACAAGACGAACATCCCGGTTGGCAAGAAAGGGCGAAGATCTGCAGAGCAAGATTTTATCCTGAACCGATACCAGCAGCTCGTTAGAAAGTTCGACGATCATGAGACGTCCTTCAAGAAACTTGTGGAGATCAAGAAACGAAGACTTGTTGGGAGAAGTCCATCGACGAGGACGACATCGACACGACACAGCCGGACGGGCCGGTGGCATTGATCGGAAACCCCATGAAACGATCGCTCTCTGTTAGTTACTGGTATTCAGAAAAACAAGACTACTCTGTCAGGGCCAGGCGATATACGGTCAATGGTGGAGTTCAGTCTATGTCTCGCCGACTGCAATATGACGTTGTTGGCGGTCACACAGGCGACCTCGACATACAAAACTGTTGTATGACGCTGGTTCAACAAATCATCGCCAAGACCTGTCCAGAACCACCTCGCCCTGATCATCTAGCAAAAATTTTAGACGATGTCGTCAAGAACCGGACGGAGTTCTCGGCCTCCTCACCTCCGGAGGCAAGGAAGTGATCAATACAGTTTCCAACGGCGGCAGTCCTCCCTCAAACCTGAAGAATCACGAGCTCATCGTTGGCTTGCGAAAGATTTCGATGTACGTCAGATGGATGGCTTGCAACCTGCTCCATGAGGATTACATGTCCATGGGCGACAAGAAGGAGACAACGTTTCCCACGGCCACTATGTTATCCTTGATGTGGACATCAGTGGAGGATATGATCCTGCGTTCGTGGACAGAGCATGTGTTGAGCGGTCCTCTGAAACCCAAGCACATTTCCATGCATTTCGATGGGCTTCGTTTGTCGACCGGTTACATCGGATCGATTCCTGGGGACTATATCAAGGAATGCGAGAAGGCCATCAAGGAGAATACCGGCTTCGACGTCAAGATCGTTGCTAAGAAACACATGTCATTCTTGGAGCTCGTGAAGGAAAGAGGCACCCATGCGAATTCGTTAACCAACGTCCCCCCTCGGTTACTCGAATAGGGCAACTGCATTCCTTGTGCTGTGTGGCACGTGGTTCCTCTGGCCAGGCCGGCGATCGTCGCTTCCGATGCATCCTTGGACAAGAACGCGGCCTTTCCGGCTGTGTCGCGATTACCGCTCGGTTGCATCCATGTGTGCAGTCGACCTTGTCTGCTGTCCTGGTCTACCGGAATCCCACGTCAAGTCCTACGTGGTTCACTACGAAGGAGATGGTTTTCCTCACTGCCTGGCGGTGAGAATCCACGGACAAGGCACAAATGCCACCGTGATCGATGGTGCAACAGTCTATAAGATGTCGACGGCAGTGCTGCGCGACCTCCATTATGCCGCAGTTGATAGGTCTACCATGGTGTCCTACTGGAAGCGGAACCTCAATGATAAGTTGGGCGACAAATCCGCGCTGCTACTCGACATGGTCGCAGGCGCTGACTCTGAGACTTCTGAGGAGTACGTCGAAGAAGATGAGAGACGAGGCTATGGCAAATTCACGCACGAAGAGGCAGATTGTCCGGCGACGTCAGATGACATCATCCACTCTCTCCACAAGGAGACCTGTGCTGTCATCGAGAAACTCGCAGACAAGGCCCCTAATGGATGGAAGAAGGCGATGCCCTATGTGTCCGTTTCGCTCCTTCACTCAACTCCGCTTGCTGCGGACCCATGTCTTGAAACATCACACCGAGAAGACTCAGTACGTGTGTTCAGGTACGAAACAGGTCAAAGTGATTCTGTCACTGTACGACTGTACGACCATGCAGCGTCCCTTTGAAAGAATGCAAAATAGCCATCGACCTTCAGATCCGTCTGATCCTGGGTGCAGCTGGCCCTCGCTACGTTAGTCTCGCGAGCATCGGCGCTACCCTTCAGGTCAGGCGAGTACGATCCCTTTACTACACGCACGCTTTTGCTGACCTGCTGATCCGTGAACTGGTGATGGGCCCACGCACAAGCGCCCCGCATTACAAGATCATCATGACGTCAGATTCCAGCTTGATATTGCTGTTAGCCTAAATGATATGTAGCATAACAATGTTAGATGGTTATCCATGTGTGCGAACTGGCTGAGGTTCGGACATTGGCTACTCGATGCCACATGGCGGCTGTGGAAACCCGGAAGCAGGATATCAACTCTTTTGCCGAGCCGGACTCAACACTGGATGCCCATCATCGAAGACGTTGCATCTTCTCATGCATGCCGAAACAAGGTGACTCGAACGACAGAGGCGTTCCTGCGCAACCACGAATGGCATTACATAAGTATGGATGCCACTTTGAAGCTCTTCATGAAGATCATGCGTCAAGCGCCATACCGAGCCGTGATGGAGGTTCGTGACGATGCACCATTCGGAGATGCCGTTGCTTGGCGACGACTCCTGACTGTGAGAGGTAGAACCGGGGCGGTTCTATTCATGTATCCACTCAAGAATGAGACGATTCAGAGCAAATTGTGAGCGCCATTGCTGAGAATTTCTCCTCAGCGCAGCTGGCATCGGTGCAGCACGTTGCCACTGACAGCCCATCAGAAAAGCTGTTCGGCCAGCTGTCTTCTGTGTGTCCGAACTTACAATCCATGATGCTGGATCCTATTCACCTGGCCATCGTTTACGAGTACGGCTTTGGAGCAAAAAAATTTCTGGTTCGAAACGCTTGTGCCGTATGCTCCGGAAGTGCGCTGCAGTGGATGGAAGTTTGGGCGGTGGATATTGGCACGCTGCCTATGATGGTAGTACGGCTAGACCCCTCAATGCTCAGGAAATCAAACACCGCGCCATGATACTTGACTTTTTCATATCCGATGGGGAAATCGGCAGAATATTAGACCATCTGCAGGAGGATGCTCCATTTCGCAATCGACTCGAGTTTCTTTAAATCGATTGCCGCATTATGTCGCAGACACAAGTCGGAGGTCAGCCGGAAGGCAGCCGGTCCTAACAAGGAGCTATGGTCGGCATGTGGGCCAGACCGGTTGGAATGGCTTATGAACAACTTTCGCACGAGGCACTCCATGACAGACTCGTACTGTTCCTTCCGACCGGCGCCTCAAGTAGTGAGGCTTTGCACGCAGAAGTTAATGCATGGACAAGGAGTATCAACGTCATGCGCAGATCAACGTTAGCACTGAAACTCCAATACTTCATGTATATCAAGACGTTCCTGCACTAGTTGTCAAGTGAGTTCGCTGTGTCCCATGCTGTGAGCGCAAGCATGCTGCTGGGAAGAACCCTATATGAATCGCTCTGGAGCATAGAGGACTGGAGCGACTGGTGTGCGGAACAACATACAGCCGGTGTGCCTAAAAAGGCAGTTCTTCATCTTGCAAAGTCAAAACAAACGGAAACTAAACTTGTAAAGCAATGGATCAAGAAGAAGCCCGCCGCAGGCCCTATAAACCTGGGGTTCTCAAAAGGCATGTGACGCCCTTGTCGGCAAAGCGTATTCATACCTCACGCACGGCCGGCGTGAAGAGACCTTATGTGACTAAAACTTACTCCGTCAGCATGCGCGCGATACAAAATGATTGCGCCACGTCGTCGTGAAGATCTGACACCAATGTGCAGCGCTTCTGCAATTGTGACTCGACAAACGAAGCAAGGGAGAGGTCAATGCATGGCCAAGTATTCAGTTGTCAATGCAGTTGGAAAGGCAGAACAAATGATTGAGGTCATGGACAGATTTGTATGTTGATATACTGTGTTACATAGGTATATATCCAGAGATACTGCCGATCGACGCATGTTATGTGCAGTATGCAGACAGTATCGGATCGTAAGTCACATGACAGCGACCATGTTATATCGACATCTTATGCATTCGAGCAGGCTGTCATCTACAGCTACGGCGCTAAGGATGCATTGGTGACGAGGTACGAGTTACGACCGTGTGTGATAGGCCGCTTATCCCCTCCTACTACTACTACTACTGCCACTACT